TCTGAATGGATTTTACAGAGCGTATTCTGCGGTGGGCGATCTAGCGCTATCGTGGTGAAGGACGGACCTCATTTTTTCCTTGAAGCAGACTATCATCCCCGTAGTTTCTAGTGTTCTTATGTTCTATTATTTACGAAAATTGTCCAGCGTTGTCGAATGACTCGATTCTCGGATCTTGCATTGTGCTAGGCCATCAGAAATTGAGTGAAGTCGTTGCTGGAGGCGGTCCATGTTTGGCAACATTCAAAGGCAGCTTAATTTCGTCCACTTATTTAGCAACCCTTCCACTGCTTGCGCTCAACAGTTCAAGGTGCCGGCAGGAATCAATTCGATGAATAAGTTGACGACATTTTTCCTCCTTCCTCACAGCGTGCACCCAGCCGAGTTCGGTGCCACTAGAGGCCCAATATCCCCTGCCACACCTGTGGTTGGGTATTCGTGATAAGCTCCCTTCATTCCTTTTGTACGATCCCGTTCATCAAGGTCATTGCTTTTGCTACGCGTACCAGTTTCGAGCTTTGTTTCTCCAGGCTCAAACCTGAAGAGCCAATCTCGCGCTATGCGTTTCCTAGATACATTCCTTCTCAAAGCAGTTACCATATTACGGAGCTGGCCCTGCCGTGTCTGTTCAGAGTTTGAAGACATGAACTGGCAACAGTCGGAAATCACGATTTTGCGTAACTCAAAAGGGAGGGCAAAACGACAGAAGTTCCTAGAATCAGCTCAAACCTCTGTATGGACATGAAAGGGCTGATCTTTCTCTACAAGATGGCATCCAGAATATTTGAACAGTTGCAAGAGAATTCACCAAAAAATGTAGTAGAACACTCAAGGTGCAAAACGGCGGATACTTTTTGACCAACCTAATAGAAGTTTTGGGTGCTTCTGATCGTGGTCGATTAATGCATAATAAGTTCACTTACGGTTCTGCTCGCTCTTCTGCCCCTTTCTTGAATATGATGTCTCAAATGTGATTGGTTTTACGGCATCTGAGCGATTCGCTGTGCTCATGTTCGTGCGCTACCGTGCAGTTTCTATGTGCGATGGCGATTTTGCGATACAAAACCTTTATATCTCGAAGGATGTTATCCGCCGTTTTTTTTGGTGTAATGATTTCTCGTACTTGTACGTTTGTTTCATTGTAGACCTTACCAGTTTAGCTGCACACGCATTCGCGTGCATCACACGGGACTGCAGTAGTATTAAAACAGGGCCATCAATATTTTTGTAAGGCTTTCTGGCAATGTTCGCCCACCTCGCTCCGCGCTCCCACCCACCCTTCCGACCTCCCTTTCGTTGTCGTACTTTTTCCACCTTTTTCCGGTCTCCGGACATCTTGGGACCTAGTCGTAATGTTTCGTCGATAACCCCACCCACATTGGTGCATGCTCCATCCACCAATAGTGTTGACCTCCCTCCGTCTGTCCTTTTCCCGGTCTCCAGGACTTCCTGGAACCGAGCTATGATGTTTCGTAGATAACCCGCCCTTATTGCTGCATGCCCCGCCCACTAATAGCAGTTAACTTCATTTCCTTCGCTGACCCCTATCCACTCTTTCCCCGGTCTCCGGGACTCTTTGGAACCGAATTATAACTTCGACGCAAACTCCGCCCACTTTTGTGCATGCCGCGACTAATAGCAGTTGACTTCATTTCCTTCGCTGACCTCTATCCACTTTTTCCCGGTCTCCGGGACTTCTTGGAACCGAGTTATAAGCCTGGTTGCAAACTCCGCCCACTTTATTGTATGCCACGCCCAGCGCTTACATTTGACCTCTCCTCCTCTAACCTCTACACATTTTTTTTCCGGTCTCTAAGTCATCTCGGAGCCGAATTATGAGGTCTTGTAGGGACGTTATGAGTCATGAATTTTCTTGGCAAACCCCGCCCACTTTGGTGCATGCTTAGCCCACCAATAGCATTTAACCCCACTTCCCTCCGTCAACCCTTATCCACATTTTTCCCGGTCGCCGGGACTTCTAGGAACCGAGTTATGAGAGTGGTGGCAAACTCCGCCCACTTCGGGGTGTGCCACGCCCAGCGTTCACATTCAACCTCTACTCCTCCTTTCACCTCTGTACAATTTTTTCAGGTCTCTAAGTCATCTCGGAGCCGAATTATGAGGTCTTGTAGGGGACGAAATCGAGCTACGTATCTTTGTGGCAAACCCCGCCCACTTTGGTGCATGCCTCGCCCACCGATATCAGTTGACTATCATCTCTTCCCAACCTCCATCCTACTTTTTCCCATCTCCGGAACTTATTGGAACCGAGTTATGAAGTACCGTGGCAAACTCCGCCCACTTTGGCATGCTCCGCCCGCCAACAGCGGTTGACCCCTTCCCTCTGCCAACCCTTATACGCTTTTTTCCCGGACCCGGGACTCCTAGGAACCGAGTTATAAGCCTGGTTGCAAACTCCGCCCACTTTGGTGTAAGCCACGCCCAGCCTTGACATTTAGCTTCTCCTCCCTCCTAACCTCTATCCACTGTTTTCCGGTCTCTAAGTCATCTCGGAGCCGATTTATGAGCTCTTGTAGAAAACGTCGTCTACTTCAGGACACGCTCCGCCCATTGTGGGCGGACCTCCGTTCACATCATGTGTGCTGGAAATACCTTAGACATTGCTTCCCTACACTTATTTATTTTCCACTCTGTAGGTCTCCTCCTAACCTTTAGCTTTTTTAGAGAACGCCCCGCTCATCGGGGGTGGGTCCCACTTTTGTGCATGCCGCGACTAAAAGCAGTTGGCTTCATTTTCTTTGTTGACCTCTATCCACTTTTTCCCAATCTCCGGAACTTCTTGGAATCGAGTTATAAACCTGGTCGCAAACCCCGCCCACTTTGGTGCAAACTTAGCCCACCAATAACATTTAACCCCTTTCCCTCCGG